TGAGAGATGTCGTGTATCATCTCCTGAGCCAGTAGGATATTATCGCTAATGACTCGATCGTTAATGAATCCACTCTGGTTCGGAGAGACAAGGTGGGGGAGGAGAGGGGCGAGGCGTCCGTTGAGGATTCTAGAAATTATCTTGTTAGTCACGTTGCATAAGCTGATAGGTCTATAATCAGACCAAGAACTAGGTCCCAATCTCTTCGGGATCAATATGATGGAGGTTGCTGTGAAGGAGTCTGGCATCTGGTGGCCAGAGAAAAAAATCTCTCACAGCTTCCTCTACATCAGTACCCACAATCTCCCAGCAAGACTGGAAGAAGAGGGACGAAAAACCATCCGGTCCAGAAATGCTGTTGGGATCGATCCCAAACAGAGCCTCCCTGACTTCCTCCTTACTCGGGAGGTCGCAGAGGTCCACGAGGTCGACCGACTGCGGGATGGTCGGAAAGAGGGTCGGATCAGGGTGCGTAAGCAAATCCCGCTCAAATGAAAAGGGAGAGTGGAAGTAAGCCCTAGCCGACTCCCGTATCTGGGACTCCTGGGTCACGGATGACCCATTATCCTCGACAATATGGATATATGACTTGACTCGCTTCTGCCTCACGAATCCCTGGAAGAACTTGGTATTGTGCTCCCCCTCAGCCACCCAGCGCACAGCAGCCTTCTGCTTCCAGAAATCTTCCTCCATGAGGAGGCGCAACTGGTACTCAGCATGGCAGCGGCGCATCTCGAACTTATTCTCTGGCGAAAAGTCCAAATCATAGGTCTGTTCCGCCTCCGTATACGCAGTCTGAGCTGCAGCAAGGCGCTGAGAAATTTCACCAAAAATCGTCCAGTCCACTGCTTTAAAATGGGACGGAGTCTCTTGAGCTTCTCCTCCAGGTTGCGCATCCCATAGAGGTGCGTAGCCGGCTGCCAGGAGGCTCTAACAGTACTCGTAGTAAGAATGGTGGCGGACCCACATGTTCTGGAAACGAAAAGACGCTCGCCGAGGGGAAATAGAGAACCGACAACGAATCAGAAGGAGGGCATGGTCAGATCCAATTCGAGGAAGGTGCGTTACAACCGTGGTCGCAAACACCCTCGTCCAGGCCTCTGAGTAGAGAGCGCGGTCAAGCCTCTTCTTGACTCTGGCCCTTTCCCACGTAAAGGGAGCCCCTTCGTATCCAGCGTCGATGAGCTCACAATCCGATACGGCATGCGAAAAATCTAAGATCTCCGCAGAGCGGTCCGATACACCACCAATGCGTTCATCGGGATGCAAGAATATGTTGAAATAACCGCTAATCATCCACGGTAATCCCTCCATACTCTCAGCAATCTCACGCATGGTGTCCCAGAGGTCATAACGACCAACCCTCGCACAGTTGGCGTAAACCAAGTTGTGGAAGATCGGCTCCGGAAGATGGGCGGCGGTGAGCTTCACGTGCAAGACTTGATCAGTATCACGAAGGATCTGACAAGTAAAGTCACGCGAGTGGAAAAACCAAATCTTGTTAGAGGTGTTGCCCATCCCGGCATGAAAGCTAAGGCGGCGCGAATATACGTCAAAAGAAGGGTCACGAGTATAGGCTCTAAGAAAGCCGCAAAGTCAAGGTTATGCTCACGAATGAGAGATCTAACATGAGCAAGGGTGGTCGTATTAGCCAAACAACGGGCATTCCATGTAAGCGATGTGACTTACATGTCAAACGTCAGTGGGCCCGTCTAACTGGAGTTGTCCGTGGTTAGGTTGTGTCTGTATGTCTGGTAGAGTCAGCGCTCGACTAGCGACGAGCTGCGCAGTCCTCGATCTGGTCTGTGGTCTCCAGAGCTCTGAGACCTCCTGGACAGGGCCCTCTCACATAGGGGGAAACTCCGAAGGTAGGAGAATGAGCTGAAGGTGCCTCTGCGCCTGGCCCTGTGGGGAGGACGGACCAGACTCGGTAGTGGTGGATGTGTGGGAAGTGGGGGTAGGGTCAGAAGGGGTCGAGCTGGTGGGTCAGACAGAGAGGAAGGGTGGGAGGAGGGCTCTAGGATCTGACTGGGAGCTGAGGGGGAGAGAGGAGCCTCAATGTACAGGAGTCTAGGAGGAGGCTCTATCTCATCGACTAGAAGGTCGTCGTCATCAAAAGGGGAGCTGGTTGAAGCTCCTAAGTGGTCGGAGAAAGTGGGAATCTCCTCCTCCGTCTCTGTGTCAAGTACCGAGAAACGAGAATAAGTGGCCATAGAAGCAGTCTGGAGGGACTGATGGGGAAATAGACCTGTGGCTTTGGCCTAAGGCCCATTCATGGTAGCCTCCTTGGTCCAGGGGGCCTTAGAGAAGACCTTACCCTTGCCCTTTTGTCCCTTCGGGTCGGGACCGTGGGCAGGGGCCTTGCCCTTCTCCTTAGGGCTCCCCGGGGCGGCAGTATGGTTTTGCATCGCTAGACGGCGACGAGGGGGCAAAGCGGGTCGGGGCTTGTCTCCCCTAGTGTAACATTCTGCAGCCCCATGTCCTACATGACTGCATAGGGTGCAGAACGGGAGAACTCTCTCGTAGACCACTTTCTGGATAGTGGTCTTGCCCGCTTGATCAAGCTCAATCTCCTTGATGAGCTCGTCCCTGAGGTCAATCTCCACGCACTCCCGTGCGACAGATAACCTCGAGCGATTTGTCGTAACAGCATCAGTCTCGATGGAATTGCCAATGCAACTGGCAATCGAGAAGAGGGCAGAGGGGTAAAAAAGATGTGGTAAAAGGCTCGGAAGGCAGCACCTCACCGGGACGATGGGAGATTCCTCAACAAAAGAGAAATCCGGGGTGTATTTAAACACCCGACCAGAGCATCCAAAGATATTGAGATGCGTCTTAATCCAAACCGAATTGTAGTCCTCTTTCAACTCGAAAAAGAGTAAATAATGATTATAATTCAGAAACTTAGGGGACACTCTACCCTTGAAACCCAGTTTGACCAGACCGACCGATAAATCCCGGAGGGAAAGGACAGTGAAGGAAAACTTCAATATGAGTGCATTCCATATCAACTTTAATTCACTATTCATCCACTCGCATAATTTTAACTAACAATCACTTTAAATCACATCTCTCATACTTTTAAACCAAATCACCTTTAATTATTTCATTTTAAATATTATTTCAATATACCAACTATCAACTAACCACACCACATTTTCAAAATTAACTAAACCAAACTAAAAAATACAAACAAATCCAAAAAATATTATCTCCAAGCATATCATTTTAACATTGATTATACTTTATTAGTTAAATAAAATTCACTAATATTTCTGTATCTTTCTATATAAAAAGACTGACCTTGACTATTAAATAGAACCCCAAAATCAGAAAGAACTGGTGCCACTGGAACTTAAAAAGAAGTCTAAAATGGATATATATATAATATGATAATTTATACGATAGTTGGACAAATGAGTTGTTAGTTTATCATTTTAATATTGATTATACTTGATTAGCTAAATAATATTCACTAAAATTTTTATAGTTTTTTATGTTGTTTAAAAGAACCTTAAACATGTATCTTTAAAATACTAAAAACACTATATTGTTATACAACATGTGTAAGATTATCTGAAATATTCTATATTATTCCTAAAAAATGTGAGGTCACCTTTCTAAATTATTTTATAAGTAAAACATGTCTTAAAAAAATTCAACACCCATACTAATGCAAGTGTGAACGTCCTGGTCCGGTTTGGGGTAGATCGATTCTTGTCCTCGCCGGTAGAACGCCGGAAACCTGCAAACAACTCTCACACCGGGGGTTCTCTCCGGTGAAGAGCCTCCGATGCTTAAGTCGGTATGTGTTTGAGTATATTGAAGTGAATAATAGAGAAAAATCGTGTTGAAGAAGAAAGGTTCACCCCCTTTATATAGGGGTGAGATACCTGACCTAGCGCTGCCTGGATTTGGTGAGTTGTCTGCCCTAACTGCCTATCCGTACACACAATACGCGTGTGTCAGAGGTAGTTGTCGCCACTATCGTTTGCGTCCAAAGATGTCCTCCTGCACATGGGGTAAGCTATCAGAGGTGGTTGTCGCTATCAACCAATAAGTCCTCGACACGTGTCCTCCTGCACATGGGATGAATATTCTTCTGAAATTCCGTTATAGGCTCTCACACGCGCCTGTGACTAGGCCGATCCATTAGAGTGTCAGGTCTACAGGATGATCGACCTATTGAGGTCGACTGAGTTGCTCGATTACTCATTTGGTCGAGTGATGGGCTGGTCGACTACTTGACTGGTCGACAGGTTAGCTGCTCGATCTTCCCGCCACTTGGTTTGGTTCAGCAGGCCGGTCTAGCCTGGTAGGTATAATATCCTATATCATCTAGTCCCCCCCCACTCTGGTCGAGTCTGAATGACTCGATCTAAGAGTGAATTTGTGTTCATCGACCTCCGGGATAGCATGGTGTCTGATATCGACCATCTGATGGATTTTCTGCTTATTTTTTTCCAAACAACACCTCATTAATTGCCAGAGATAAGGTCTCCTGTCACATGTCCTTTCTGCCGCGCCTGCTTTTCTGCCACGCGTAACGTTTGCCACATTTGTGAGTCACTTTAATGATAGCGTCTCCTCGCATAACGCGCCCACTTTGAATTCCGTGTGAGTTTAACGCTTTCCACCGTCAGATCTATATTCAATCCAACGGCTCTCTCCTCCCAACTCTTCAACTTTCCAAGTATAAATTCAGTACTCAGCAAATTTTCTGAGTTTTTCCACCTTTGCAATTTCGAACTCTCCTATGCTCAAACATCCCTTTTGCAAGAACCCTAATCTTTTTCGGCGATTTCCCCTGCGATCTTCGAGTTCTTCCAAATCTCTCATCTGCGATTATGAGTAAGTCGTTTCTCGCTTGATTTTACGTTTCCTGTATTTGAGATTTTTTCTTTGAATTTCTTGAATTGGGTGTCTTGAAGTTTGCTGATTGAGTATTTTGAATTTGTATGTTGGGTGTCGGTGTTCGCTTGTCAATCACTTGTGAATTTCGCTCTCTCTCTTCGAAAATCTTCTGAAATCTCTGTTCTCCTTCTCTAATAATTTTTTTCGAAATTATCCCCCTCGTAGAGCCTTAATTCTTTGAAGTTTCGCCCTTCTCGCAAGTTTTTTTCTTTTTTGATTTTGTTCTTGTTTTTCTTTTTTCAGATCCTGCACCTCCATCTCCTTCTTCGACCACTTCCTCTGGTTCAGTTCAAATACTACCCTCTGCACTTGAGGACGTTTCCCTCTCGATTCTTCGCCCCGGCGAGACCGTCCCCACCATCGCTTTTACTGCCCGCGTTGCTTCTAATAATTCTGGGGATACCATGGATAATATCCCCCTCCGCCGTCGTCGTCCTGCCATTGGCGAGTTGGACGACCCAGAGTTGGACGAGGTTATTTCTCCTTAGCCCACTTCTGCTCCCTCTTCAACCATTCCTCCTTCTTCTTCACAGCCTGGTGCTTCAAACTCTCCTTCCAACAAAACCTCGACCAAAAACCCCCGCAGAACTTCCACTAAGCGCCCTTCTCTCTCCCATGTTTGGTATTCTCCTGAGAAGATCGGCCACCCCAGTGGTTGGTTGTTTCTCAGTTCTTCTTCTGCTTACAAATACGATCGTCCACCCAAAGACTGTTATACTTTTTTCGAGATTCAATTTAAACTTGGCCTCCGTTTTTCCCTGAATCCCGAGCTACTTCGCATTTGTGAGTGGTTCTCGCTTCCTCTGCATCAACTTTCCCCCAACGCCATTCGCTTTATGACCACTTTTATCATCCTTTGTCGCGTCCGCCTAGGCCAATTCGACCTAACCTTCTTTCATTACTGCTATGCCCCTTCCAAACAAGGTCGAGGCCTCTACCTTAAGAGCCGCAACGACGCTCACTTCATCAATGACATTCCTTCCAACCTCCCTAAGTGGAGTGACAAATTCATTTTTGTCCAGCCTACTGTCCCTTTCCCTTGGCCCTCCATTCCTTGGATCAAAAAGGTTTCCCAAGAGGCGGCCTCGGCTCTTCCTCTAAGCCCCCTTTTCGACCAACGGATCCACACTTGGAATTCCAAGTCCGTTGCGTCCAGAATACTTCTCAAGGACGAAAATCTTCTTCATTACTGTGGTCTTCTCACCCACAAGACCTGTCCTCCCCCTAGTGATGAGATCCTCGATCTCATTCGACTTGAGAATGATCCAGGTAATCCTCGACCGAGTTGCTCGAGTATATATGCAATCCT